TGAGAATTGTATATTTGGAAATTGCCGAGAGTAGAGTTTAAGAGCTCTCACCACGTACATAGGGCATGTGTTAAATGACTTGATTTACCCATTCCACTATCTATACATACATTAAAACATGTTGTTTGTGTACCATAAATATATGTGATTTTTACTTGTCAACTAAAAAGAGCTCTATATAAAAAGGTTTTGGGAAAATTCTTTGTCTTTATTTAAAATTACCTAGAATAATTGTGAATTTGTAATGTTGGAGAGGCGTAGTTTTAGTAAGTCTGAACTTTTTGTCAGAAATGAGTAGGCTGCTTAACGCAGAGAAACTAAAGCAGATACCTTAAAAGCAACTGAGGCCAATAGGAAAAGGGGACCAGGAACTAGAGAAAAGGTTAGATCAAAAAGAATTAACCTAGAAGGTAACACATACGCACAGGAAATCAATGTGAATCAATGCCCTGTATAGCTATTCTTATCTCAGCAGAAACCCTTGTTCCTTCCTATTATTGCTTATACTCTCTCTACAACAAAATTAGAAATAAGGGCAAAATAGTTTCTGCTGGGTATTGAGGGGGTTGGGGGGAGAGGGAGGGGGCGGAGTGGGTGGTAAGAGAGGGGGTGGGGGCAGGGGGGAGAAATGACCCAAGCCTTGTATGCACATATGAATAATAAAAGAAAAAAAAAAGAAATGAGTAGGCTGGTCATGTAAGGGAAACAAATGTTAGTAACTACCCTTGAAAGACTTCCATGACTAAGAATTCCCCCTGTCCTTGGAGGGTGTCAGAGGAAAAAACGGATTAACAAAGGTGAACTCAGAGAACTGTATAGAAGAGAAAGTCAGTAATGTACTATAGAAAATTATACTTTCTTTGTCACAGAGCCTGTTTTATACAATAAGCATTTATTGAATGAGAATCTTTTCTACTGTCAAGGAGTTTATGTGGGTGGGGATGGATGTTGATAAGGAGAGGGATGACTGTAACTGAAATACAGTGTGAAATTTGCTGTAATTGAGAACCTGTTTGTCATACAGTGGGAATAATGGAGCTTGTCTAGATTCTTAGCTGAGGATAAGTGAGAATAGGCTTTGAGGTGAGTGCTAGAACTATCACCTGAGGTAATAAATGACAGCTGAGGGCTAAGAGAGGGGACAATAAAATGCAGTGAGACTGAATTACTATTTTTCAGTTTTAAACAGTTCATTTTTTCTATTTTGAGGTCATTAATATGAGAATGATAACAAAATGTTTTCATAATTGTCTTAACATTTTAGGAAACAATGAAGTATGTAGTACATTTTTAAAAATCACCGATGGTTAAAAAATAAAGTGGCAATTCCAGTCCCCTAAAAAACGAAAAAAGAAAAAAAAGTGGCCATCTTCTGATGTATGAAGTAATTCTAAATATTCCAGTTAAATGTGTTGTTGAAACATCTGTTCTGTTAGTCAATAAATCTTTAAAAGTTTTCTCTATGTATTTAGCAGTTTACTTTCCTTTTATTGGAGTAGTTTGTCTCATATATACATATGTACGTATATACATAGACATATTTTCTTGACTAATACTGACAGACTAGTTAACTTTATTATTAACAGATATAACAAATGATTTTGTTACTAAGAACTGGTTTTCAAAGTGATAGTTATAATAGGGAACAATTGTATCTCCTTAGTTATCAGATTAGAGTCTTTTGTGCAGTAGTAATAATAACTGATTTTACCCAGACAAGAAGTTTTTGAGACCCTCATCTCAATCAATAAAAGCTGGGCATGGTGGGGGGGGGTGGGCAGGGTCACCTGTCATCCCAACTATGCAGGAATTCTAAATAGGAAGATTGTGGTATAGGCATGCCTGGCATATATGTGAAGCTGTTTTTGGAAAATAACTAAAGTTTAAAAAAAAAGGAGCGGGGATGCTAGAGGTGTAGCTCAAATGGTAGAACTCCTGCCTAGCAGTACCAGTGCCCAGTACTTTCCCCAAAGTGTGTGTGTGTGTGTGTGTGTGTGTGGTGTGCGCATGTGTGTGCATTTAGATTTGTAAGAACCCACCCACTGCCTTCCAGAGTAACATTGTGCATTCCCACCAGCAATGAATGAGAGTCCTATTGTTCACGTATTCGCGGTATTGCCAGTGTTCTGGATTTCCGCCATTCCCCTGATGTGGGGCATCTTTTCACATGCTTTCCCATCTGTATATCTTCTATTGTTCCTTTTGCAAATATTTTCTCCCTCTTGATGCTTGTCATTCTGTTCTCTTGACTGTTTCTTTTGGAGAAATTTGATTTCTTTTTGTGTGTGTGTGTGTGTGTGTGTCAGTGCAACTGGGGTTTGAACTCAGGGCTTTGCCCTTGGAAAGTAGGCATGCTACTGCTTGAGCCATACTTACAGTCTCTTTTGCAGAAATTTTATTGAAGATCTGTTCTTTGTTTCACGGATTGTGCCTTTTGTGCTGAATCTAAAAAGTTGCTGCCACACCCAACGTCATCTAGATTTTCTTTTGTTATTTTGTAGGAGTTTTAATAATTTTGCATTTCATATTTAGCTATGTGAATTATTCAGTTTTTGTGAGGTGTATAACGTCTGTTTCTGGATTCATTTTTTTGATTGTGGGGGTCCAGTTGTTCCAGAACTATTTGTTGAAAAGAGAGTCTTGTGATGTAAGAAAAATTTCTTTTTCTAAGCTTTGCATGAGACCATGTGTATATAATTTCTTGATCATGAAGGTAAATGAATAAAAAATATTTTTAGGAGCAACCAATGTATTAAACAATGATGCCAGGGTGCTGTTTCCCATCATAATCCTTTCCCTGTGAAAATATTTAGAAGTGGGTTTTATAAATATGACTACATTACAGTGAGGTAGAGGCACACCTGTGATTTCCTGGTTAATCCTCATATAAGCATCATTTTAGAGCCACACTGGAAATCTAAAAGTGTCAGTTTTCAGCTTTTACAAGAGCTTAAATGTGATCTTTGGTCTTTTGAGTATGTAGGCTTCCCTCTATATCATAGCCGTACCATGTAACATAATTACAGGAGGTTTCGTGGAGACTGGTAAGGTTGCATTTTCAAAAAGGCTATGCTGTGAAAAGAAGCAAAAGCTCTGGGAAGAGTGAAAGGTAGACTGAGGGGTTCAGAGGAGGGATGGATAGCAGTGATGTCATGAAAAGACTTTTCTGTCGTGTATATTTAGGGTGATCTGTCTTTGCTGAGAAGGGTTTGCATGTGCGGAGGTACTAACTGTAATTATGCTGTCAGTAACTCCCATCTTGCCTATGCCATTTTTTTGTGTCTGTAGATGTTTTTCATATAATGACATCAACTTCAAACTTATTTTTTACTTGAATTATTTAATGTGATACATATTCCAAGACCTTGTTTATTGTGTTGTAAAACTAACAGGTGCCCAATGCACAAACTTAAAAACTTTCTACCAGTTACAATGAGCAACTTTTGTCAGGTGTGGTGGCAGTGCCTGCAGCCCTAGCTACTCTGGAGGATAAAGCAGGAGAATTGTGAGTTTGAGGCCAGCACAAGAAATATAGTGAGACCCTTCTCAAAAAAAAAACAAAAATCAAGAAAAAAGATAATAATAGGAACACCTTTTGATAATTTGGACTGTTATTCATTTGGAATGTATGTATATACTAATCTGCAAATTTTTAAAAATACTGGAGTCATCCTGTATTATAGCTCTCTTTCCTGAGTTGTTAGTTAAATTTTTCCTAAAAAGTATTTATATTTTGTGATTGTGGAAGGCTTGTATTCTGAATATATGCCATTAAAAGTCTATACTTATTTTAATGCACGTGGTTAGAAGTCAGAATTGTGGAGACTTTTGGGGTGCTACATAAAGGCTTGAAGGAAACATAGAGATTCTGGAGTACTGTTTCACAAATGTGCTCATTTTTGTGAGAATTGAGCTGTACACGCATGTACATTTTCTTGTATATATTATACTTTCATAAAGTTTGAAAAACTGAATATTTATTGAAATAACACATTATTAGAGTCATAAGATTGGCATAGATGATTAGAAAAAGAAATAGGGAGTTATCTCACATAAGAACCATGTACTAGACAAATGCTCCTCTGGAGCTCCATGAGGAGACATTTCACATACCAATTTTCTTCAGTTGTGAGTTTAAATAATTCATTTTTAAGAAAATGTTTGGTTACTTAGTAAATATTAACCTACATATGCATCTAAAAACTAGCCATTTGGAGTAACGTTTTATAGCTCAACAGCAACCTATCACAGGAATTCAAGGACTTTAAACATCATAAAACAGCAAACTAATCAGAAATGGGAGAACAAAGGAAACAACCAACCAGGACTATGTCATTATTTTTGCATTCTCCTCTAAATCTTATCCTTTGCTGGATTCATAGGATTTTGATTGAACAAATAAGAATTCATAGGATATCATGTATTTTGTAAAGTCAAGTTTGAATTTTTAGAATATAGTTCAGTGATTTCTAGATTTCTTGTGTTTTAATATCACAGTGTCACTAGCTAACCATATTAGTCATACTCTTCTTAAAAGGTGTAAGGGTGAGCTGAAAGTGTGATATAGTAACCCTATGAGGAAGCTACCAAGTACCATTTTACAGGTTATAAAACTGATTCTGAGTAATTTTTAATGTTATGTTACCAATACAGATATCTTCAATTTTAGAGCTAGCACTTTCTCACTGTTGCTTTCTGTTCAAATGAAGATGGCAATTATTTTAAGTAATTTGAAATTAGTCTGCTATATTGGTTTATGTGAAAATGTAAAAAATAATACTTAAAATGAAATATAAAAAAATTTGAGATTATCTATTCCATGTTCAATAATAAAATAATTTTAGAAATATTCCCAAAACTCAAGAGGAAGAAAAAAGGGCAGACTTCTTTTCTCATTCTGATTTTATTTTTATATTGTAATCCCAGAATTTGAACTAAACTTCACAGAGAAAAAATTTAATTTTCATAGTTTTAACTATTTCCTTCATTTTGTGTTTCAGATAAAATCAAAGACAAAATCAAAGAGAGAGACAAAGAAAAAGAGAAAAAGAAGCACAAAGTAATGAGTGAAATTAAGAAAGAGAATGGGGAAGTAAAGATTTTGCTGAAAAGTAAGTTTATATTCAGTGATTTCTATTCTGTATTATACCGTTCAATATACATATTAGCTAAGTGATTAAGAAATGCTATTTGGAGCCAATTTTTGCTGGAGAATAAAATGAGAAGCAAGTATAGTATTTAGGAGTTCTGAGCTGCGTGATAACATGTCATGGTAACATGTCTTTAGTATGTTTATTTAATGAGTCATTAAACTCTTGTAAAGGTTAAGCTTCATTAAACTGTTAGAGTCCTTAAATTATTTTAAAATAAATTGTCTAACTCTGTGTTTGCATTGTTAGTCTTTATCCATATTTAGATAATGTAAAATGGTAATTTTTAGCACACAGGGATAGTGAAAGAAATTATCATAGAAATACTTGACTGTAAACATCATATCAAAGTCTAGGATTAAGAGGGAACATTTTACTTTGAGCTAAATCAGAAAGTATACTGTTTTACTCTATGTTTATTGTATGCTTAAGAATATCCTCCTTTTCCCCTATTCTCTGTTGTTAAATCATATTCAATTATTATTTATATGTAAGAGAGGGAAGAGAATTTGAGGGGTTGGTGGTTGGATAGTAAGTATAATATAAATCCTATTAGTCTGAACTTTTTTCCGAGAGAATTTGTGCTAGAAGTAAGGGCAGTGTTACATTGACTCAGATAGCAAAGTAAGAAGAATCACTGGCATTCAGTCTTAGACAGCTGAGAAAGTCATTGGTCATTCTATCAAGTTGACAGTTGATTATCAGAAGACTTGACTTTGATTAGTTTCATATGTTGGTGATCTATGTAAGGCAAAAAATCCTACAGTACTGCATGTGCAACAAAATAATTGGTTAATTTGTATTACTTAAAATAGTAAAATTAGATTCTGCTTCCTCATTCATCATGTTCCCAGATGGTCTTTGGTGGCACTTCTTAAGCTCTGTTTCTATACATCAGAATTTAGTTTTCTGTAGTATTCTTTCAACTTTGAAACTTCTCTGTGTTTAAGTTGATGGCTACTTGGTTCATGTGGTTGATCTTTTTGTTGTTTTTTTTTTTTCCCACGTGTCTTATCTGTTCTGTTCTAATTAGATTGTAAGCCTTTGTGGCAGGAAGTACATCTAACCACTCTTCATGTATACAGCAGCTAATGACCACTGCTTGGAACGTTTACTTAACTGTGTCCTGTTGGCTTAAGTAAATAGTCATTTTTTAACTGATCTATTCAAATAGTCATTTTGCTACCCATCTTAATGTCTAGTGATACAAATTTCTGTCTTTGAGAAAGAATTTGTGCTCTAGGAATACTTTATAAGAAAAAGCATGTTGAATATTAGATTCCTAACATGCCATTAGTAGGAATTATGTAATCTAGAGATTATTCATGCAAATAAAATTAAAATAGCTTAGAAAATTGAGGTTTTCTAGGAATAAGCAATATTAATCTTGACTAAGCAGACTAAAAAATTAGGAGATATCTTAAACTGAGCTAAAGTAAAACTCATGATGATAAAGAAAAAAGAATGAGATAGCTTTAGAAATTGATTTAGAACTTCTGGGATGACCATGGAAAACTTTAGGGAAAATGTGTTTATTGTACGATGGAGATAAGAATTTAATTACTGCTTTACCACTTTGTGCAGATTGCTTTGAGGAAAGGCATGGAGTAAGTGCTGAGTATTATGTCTGGCCCACAGATACTCAGTAAGTGGCTATGAGTCTTATAAACATGCTTGAAAGATTAATTATTGTGATCAGATCAGACAGCAACAAAACCAAAACTGTCCTTCCTCCTCAGTGTGTAGTATGTAGATAATTAAATGAGTAAAAACATGGTTCATTTGGAAAAAGTGACTGTCCCATTGAAAGCACTGAGAAAGTATTATCTATTGTTATTACCCACTAAACGGTTTGCTTAGCATGTGTGGCTGCTTCCTAAGTGAGCTTATGGTCAGGAACAGTGTCCTCTGTTGTTCTGGAGCAACAGCCAAGTCAATGTGTCAGGGGCAGTATGCTGTTATTTACTGTTGTGCTTCCCCTTTCTCCTTTACGGCCTCCAGCTTTTATTTTCCCTTTCAGTTTTAGTCTTCTGTTTATGCTAATGTTGCAAGTTGCAACATACACAGGCGTTGCTTGATAATAGTGTTTGAAAATATAAAATAGATGCTAACTCTGTTCCTCATTAATCTCATTTCCTTCAGGTTTTCATTAAAAATTGTGTTGAGCATTGTGTGACTAGAGAGGAATATACAACTACATATACGCTAAAAAGTTTTTATAATACTGAAAACGATAGTAAAATTTGTTAGGAGAGGACCACACTTTCAATAGACTGAGGGCAGATTGTCTCTACAGTGAGAACAAGAACGACCCATGCTAAAATTTTTTAATGCACAAATCTTGTTACTGTTTTTTACTGATAGAATGGGACTATTTATTCTCTTAAATAGTTTCAATAGTTTAAAGGAATAAATAAGTTTGAAACAAGCTTATTTAGTGGGTCTCAACCTTTTATATTAAAGTATACCAATTACTTTTTCTGACATCTGTACGTGTTCCAGCCATTTTATGTAGTTTATTAAGGTTAAGAACATACGTGTTATAATTGTAGCATTTTTGAAAGTAAAATTTATCATTATAGCATGTCAAATAAACTTGCTCACGACAGGTGGAATGGGGGTTAAAATGAGGTGGTGTCTAAGGTTATTGGTAGTACAATCAAGGTAATGGAAAGGCAAATCATGGCAGGAAGAATGACAGCAGGTCAGTGTTCCCTAACGACCAAGGATGGAAAATTGCAAAGCTAATTATTACTTTGTTTTCTATGCATGATAATGAAGTTGTATGTCTTATTTTAAGATCTAGTTTGTCTGGATAACCTTTATTTTTCATTTTACTAACACGAAAAGTATACTAAGGTTAATGGCAGAAATTAATGTCAGTGAATTTTTTTATTTTTAAAGCCATTTTTTTCATAATTGATTATCAAAAACACATGTCGTTCTACCTGTTTCTGTTGGTGTTTTTAATCTGTTTTTGTATGAGTCCTTTTCTTTCTGTCTGTCTGTGTATCTGCATTTCTTTCTGTTTCTAACTTTTTCACTCTCAACTTGGAGTTCTCTCTCTCCCTGATTGTATGTGTGTGTATATATATGTGTGCATTTGTGATCCACTGTGTGCATGTGTCTGTGGCTATGAGTTTGTGTGTGTGTGTGTTTCCTCCCATCAATCTCATATTTTTTCATATTTTTTTATAGTATATGTTACTTAGGCAGCAATTCCATTTTTTTTTTAAGCAGGGTACTTTATTACCTCTGATTTATTGGGCTCTGAAGAATTACAGAGTACTGTGTACTTTAAATACTTTTAATATTCAAAATGGTCTTCATTAAAGTATTTAGAATTTTCTGTATATGTGTCTAATGCATTTAGTATGTAGAGACAGGAAATGAGTGAGAAGATTATATAAAACTCATAAAATGTAGCTTGTGAATGCTAGTGCCTTAGTTTGGTTGGGGTTCCCAACACTTATCTTCAGGTTCTCTGATGTGCTGGGATGACTCCCAGGTCTCAGCATGTAGTTGTACTCGTGGCTGTGACTTACAGTGAAATGACACAAAGTAAAATCAGCACAGAAAAAGCACATGGGGCAGTGTTTGCAGAAAACTAGCACAAGTTACCAAGTGTCCTCTCCTCCAGATGGAGTCATGTAGGATGCACAATACATGGGAAATGTTGCCTACCAGGGAAGCTCACTAGAGACTCAGTTCCTGGGGTTTTGTTGGGAGTTGGTCATGTTGGCACCATCTGTTCAGCAGGGACCAAAATTCCAGACTCCTAGAAGGAAAGCAAGTGTTGAGCATGCACCATATTGTTTGTACAAATACTTTAGGCACAGTGAACCACTGTTACTAGGCAATGGTGGGAACCCTCCCAAAAATACAAGCTTGCAAATGCCAGCCAAGGTCCAACCTTACATGGAAGCCTTTCTAAGGATAGCAGTCTCAAGTCTGTTAACTCTTTGGCACACTGTGCTTACTGTAGTATGTAATCACAAAGATTGCCATGAGAATTCGACTTCTTGAAGCTCAATGTAAGGATCTTCTTAGGTGGGTGCAGTGGCTCACAACTGTAAATCCCAGTTACCTGGGAGGCAGAGATCAGGAGGATTGTGATTAAAGGCCACCCAGGCAAAAAACTTACTGAGATACCATTTCAGCAAACAAGCTAGGCATGGTGTTTCACATCTGTAATCCCAGCTACATTGAAGGCATAGACAGAAGGTTCCCCCCCCTTAGGCTGGCCCCAGACAAAACATGCTAGACCCTGTCTGAAAAATAACCTAAAAGCCAAAAGGGCTTGGGGTCTGGCTTAAGAGTCTTGCCGAGGAAGCTGGAAGCTCTGAATTCAAACCTCAGTACTGCCAATTTAAAAGAAAAAAAGTCTCTTACTTGATTTCTTGTTAGTTTGCATTTCTTATGTTGTACCTATTTTATTTCAAAGTAACGTGTTCTAGTGACTGGTTGTTTTCTGTTTATTGGGTGTGATGTAATAGTTTATTAAACATGTTCATTGGTGAGGTTTTGTTTATTTTGGCAAGCCATTTAATTGAAGTGATTTTCTGTGTGTTTTCATTTGTGGTTAGGAATACTGTTAATCATCCCTGTGCCTCCTAAATGTTTTTAACTTATACTTTTTATTCCACTGCTATTCTTTTTTCATTTTGCTTATATTTATAAAGCTCTTTCATCTTGGTTAGCTCATGTTTTACTTTTTTGTTATTTTGTTCATAAGATATTAACTGGAATTTGGTGTTTTAATACTGTATACCTAGACAGAATTTGTTGACATTATCCAAATATATTTCTTAACTACTTACAGATAGACTCTTTAAAGAATTAACACTTTGCTTTTTATGATTTTACAAACCTATGCAATGAATAATGCTGACAGATTTCTATTTTTGCTTTTCATGATACTAATTGTTTTTTTTTATGGTACTGGGGTTTGAACTCAGGGCATCACACTTGCTAGGCAGGTACTCTACCACTTGAGCCACTCTTCCAGCCTCCATGATGATACTCATTTTGTCCTTCATTGTATACTTATGAATTCGTCTCTTCTATGAGTTTTTAGATATGACAATTTGCTATTAACCTTCCCTTTTGTGGACTTGCTATTAATTTGAGATAATTTGTTATTGTTTCCAGGGATAAGATTTATTGGTATTCATATGTGGAAAGAGAGACAGGGGAAACTCCTGTAAACCACAGGCAGTCTTGGTGAGACAGGTCCTTTCATTCATAAATACCATGCAGAGCAGTGTTCTAGAGGTATGAGGGATACAATGACAGAAAAGAAGTATCATTATTTTTCAGAGCACCACTCTGAATTCAGATTAAATTTGTTTTATTTATACAATATTCTGAAGAACATATGATCTCTCTCTCTCTCTCTCTCTCTCTCTCTCCTTCTCTCTCCTCTCAGTGGTTCTGGGCTTTGAGCTCACACTTGCTAGGCAGGCGCTCTGCCACTTGAGCCACTCCACCATCCCGTTACTTTCTCCTTGCCAGCACATGTGTATCACTGGAACTTAGGATATGAGATATTCTACTTTTGTCATTTCCTTTACAGTGCTTTGGTGATCTTTGCTTGGAACTTTGGAAACTGTGGTGGACTTAAAGTCACCCATTTTAAATGCAAGTGTAGTTTACTGAGGAGGTTTGTTGCTGTTATACTATGCATGTATTTTTCCCTTTGTGATTTAGAAGTCTCTTTGGCATCTAGACTTAAGACTTAAGCTAAAGTAAAATTAATTTATTAATGGAAAATAGCTGAATGGTATTGTTCATATTTACCTTTTTAAACTTTTCACTTTTGAATTTCTGCTTTTAAAATTTGAATATTGTACTTTCTAAAACATTAGTTCACCTAATTTTTTCAGTCAGTACTGAGCATCTGCTATATGTCAGAATGGTAACCCACACCATTAGGTGTAACTTGGTCCTAAGCTGCCTTTGTGTGTGTGTGTATGCATGTGTTGAGAGAGAGATATATGAGAGAGACTAATTAAGTTCTGATTATTAGTACTGTGTAAAGTAAGTCCCAAATAGAAAATTAATTCTGAGTAAATTTTCAGAAGTGTCAAAACAGTTCCTAAAAGCATGTTTTTTTTTTTTTTAAAGTAATTAAAATATGGAGTTTCAAAAAAAATTTTTCCCAACAGGTGGGAAGGAGAAGCCAAAAACAAATGTAGAAGACTTACAAATTAAAAAGGTAAAGAAGAAAAAGAAAAAGAAACACAAAGAAAATGAGAAACGGAAGCGTCCGAAAATGTCTAGCAAATCTATTCAGACCATCTGTTCAGGATTGTTATCTGATGTTGAAGATCGAGAGGCCAAAGGCATACTAAGTGAGAACATAAAGGATTGCATTGGAAAGAATGTAGATATCAAGAACTGTGATTCTAAAATTCCAGAAAACAGTGAGTTTCCATTTGTCTCATTAAAGGAGCCACGAGTTCAGAATAACCTCAAAAGGCTGGACAGTTTGGAGTTCAAGCAGCTCATTCATATTGAGCACCAGCCTAATGGAGGTGCATCAGTCATCCATGCCTACAGCAACGAACTCTCCCACCTGTCTCCTATGGAGATGGAGAGGTTTGCAGAAGAATTTGTGGGTCTAGTGTTCAGTGAAAATGAAAACTCTGCAGCTTTCTATGTAATGGGCATTGTTCATGGGGCAGCTACTTATTTACCTGACTTTTTAGACTACTTTTCATTTAATTTTCCCAATTCACCAGTGAAAATGGAGATATTGGGAAAGAAAGATATAGAGACAACGACTATGTCCAATTTTCATGCTCAGGTAAGAGGTTTTATTTTTGAAAAATAGCTTTTAATTGTATGCTTTCAACAAATTTCTACTCGTTCTTAATTTTGCAGTAGGTGTGAAATTAAAAGGTAAGAATATAATGAAACCATTTGGAAGTATTAAGAGTACTTTTTTATCTTTTATTTTTAAGTTTTTATCTTTCTTCATGTGAACATTGGAGTTTAAATTTCAGTTTTCTACTTAGCATGTTTTTTCTTAAAGTTGATTAATGAAGTAATTAAGTTTTTTTTTAAGGATTTATCTTGGACCCAGTAAAATAAATTTAACCATGTATTTTCCAGTCCTTAAAGTTGTTTCCTTACCTGAAAATCACCTAAAATTTCTTCTTCATGATGCTTTAAAAGTGTTCAGCATGAAACCCTTACATAGTAGTACAGAATTAAATATACTGTGGTACTAAGAAATTGCTATTTACTATAATTAAGTGAAAACATTAGTGTGTGTATTGAGCTAATTTTCATTTCTCACTCTTCTCTACAGTGTAGAATATACATTATTCTAGAAAGCAGAGACAAATTGGGTTCACTATTTCTTAAAAGCTAGTATGGGCCCATCTAAAAGCCCAGTGCCTTTGTCACTGAAAACAAGAATGGAGGCAGCTCAGGCTAGGTGATTGGCCAATTCTCACATTTATTAATGCCATAGGTTTTGATTTTCTAGGAGCAGTAATTGACAATATTCTAATTTAGGAAGAGGAAAAAGGTAAAGAGGGATCTTAGTGGGCATTTATTCCAGCCTTTTCTGTTTAAAGATAAACCAACAGATTTTTGTTGTTGTTAATATAAAAGTTAGGACACCCAAAATAGTTTGCATTAAATTCTGTGGAGACTAAAATATGGCAAATTATGTAGCAATTTTTATGATCTTTATAGTGATAGGGGTTATCTCTGTATTTAGTAGTTTTCACAGATGGTCATTTCTGCACTTGTTGTAGCCTTGAAAATATGTTAATGTAAGATATTTGTATAAAATATAAGTTCATACAGAAAAAGGACACAAAGGCTCAACACATCTCTGTTCTTTGGTCTTGATTTTGAAATTCCTTCTACTTGTAGGATCCTGTTTTCTATCTTCATTTGTATCCTTGAAAGTTTTAGAGTCTTCCAAAGCCTTGCAAAGTTTGTAAGCCTGAAATGTTTGAAGAGCATGTGGAATTATAATTATTTTAATAGGTCTAGTGTTTTGAACCTAAGGTTAGTGGTATAATATCAGTCAAGCTCATATAGTCTGTTTGGGAATAGAAGCATGGATTTCTCCCTAAGTTTGTAACCTATTTATATTTGCTACCCTTTGTTGCAGTAAACAAACATACAAAACCCCTCAAAATTCCTTCCTTCTTTTCTTTTTTCAGTGCTAATTATCAAACCAGGACCTTGTGTATGCTGGGCAGGTATTCTCCTAAAGATCTATGCCTCCAGCTCCTAAATTAATTTTTATTAATTAATTTTTTTGTTTGTTTTGCCTGGGTTGGCTTCAGACCCACAGTCTTCTGCCTTAGCCTCCCAAGCTCTCAGGTGCTAGGATTTTAGACTTGTACCTCCATAACCAACTAAATTTATATCTTTTTTTTTTTTTTTTTGGCAGTACTGGAGCTTGAATTCAGGTCCTTCACCTTGAGCCACTGTACCAGTCCTATCTTTTGTGAAGGGTTTTTTGAGATAGGGTCTTGTGGACTATTTGCTCAGCTGGCTTCAAACCACGAAACTCCTGATCTCTGCCTCCTCAGTAGTTAGGATTATAGGTGTGAGCCACTGGTGCCCGGCTATATTTTTAATACATGAAAATGAAAAATTATATATATTTATGGGATACCATGCCATGTTTTGACATTGGCATACATTTTGCAGTCAAGGTAAATGTATCTTTCTACTCAAACATTTATCATTCTTTAAGGTGAAAAAATTCAAAATCTTGTCTTCTAGTTTTTAAAAAATCTTCAGTATGTTATTTCTATCTGTAGTAATCCTACTCTGCAGTAGAATACTAAAACTTCTTAGTCCTATCTAACTATAACTAACTATCCCTCCCTCCCTACTTTCTTCAGCCTTTGATAACCACCATTCTACTCTCAATTTCTGTGAGCTTTTTTTTAGATTCCACATGTGAGCTCATGGGGGTACTTGTCTTTTTGTGCCTGGCTTTTTTCATTTAACATAATGATCTCCATTTCCAGGCATGTTGTCTGAAATGACAAGACTTCATTCTTTTTCATTCCACATTGTACATATACATTCTTTATCCATTCATCAGGTGATAGACACTCAGTTTGTTGCCATTTCTTATCTATTAGGAATACTGATGCAATAGACATGGATGGGCAGATGTCTTTGACATATTCATTTCATTTCCTTTGGATATATACTCAGCAGTAAGGTTAGTAGATGGTGATAGTTCTATTTTTAATACTTGAGGAACTTGTGTACCTTTTTCTGTAATAGCTCTACTAATTTACATTCTCACCAATGGTATATAAAGGCTCCTTCTTCTCCACGTCCTCACCAGCACTTATCTTTTGTCTAAGCCATTCTTAACTGTGATAAAGTGATAGCTCATTGTGGCTTTAATGTACATTTCCTTAATGATTAGTGGTGTTGAGCATTTTCATATGCCTGTTGGTTACTTACATATCTTCTTCTGAAAAATGTCCACTTATATCTATTGCCCATTTTAAGAATGATGCTATTATTATCTTGCTATTGCCATTGAGTTGGTTGTACATTCTGGGTATTAGCCTCTTATTAGGTATAGAGTTTGCAGATATTTTTTCTCATTCTATAGGTTATCTTTTCTCTACGTGGATAGTTTTCTGTGTAGACGCATTTTGGTAGTATATAATCCCATTTGTCTATTTTTGCTTTTGTTTTTTGTGATCTTGTATAAAAAATTCTTGGCATTCCAATGCCCAGAAGTTTTCTTCTAGTAGTTTAATAGTTTCAAGTCTCACATTTAGGTCTTTAATCTTTTTGGGTTATTTTTTATTTCTGGTGAGAGATAGAGGTCAAGTTTCATTCCTCTGCATTTGGGTATCCAGTTTTCCTAACAGCATTAAATGAAAAAGTTGTACTTTCTTTTATATATACTCATAGTGTCTTTATGAAAATCATTTTCCTCTAGAGGTGTGGGTTTACTTCTAGACTGTCTATTGGTTACATTAATCTATTTTTGTTTTCTCAATGCCAAGAGCATGCTGCTTTGCTTACTTAAGCTTTGTAGTATATTTTGAAATTAGGTAGTTTAATGAGTACCTCCTGCTTCATGGTTTTTTCTTGTGGTTTTGGGGTCAAACCAAGGGTTTGTGTGTGCTATGTGAACACTGTACTGCTGCACTACATCCCCAGCCCTCCTGCTTTGTTCTTTTTTGCTGAAGACTTTTTTGTGTGTGTGTGTGTGTGTGTGTGTGTGTGTGTGTGTGTGTGTTTCCACACAATTTTTAAAATTCCTTGGAAATTGGTATTTGGATAGGGAATGCACTGAATCTGCAGATTGCTTTGGATAATATGAGCATTTCAACCATATTAATTCTTCCTGTCAGGGAACATGGGATATCTTTCCTTTTTTTTCTGTTTCTTTTTCTTTTCCTTTGGTGTCTTCTTCAATTTCTTTCATCAGAGTTTTATAGTTTTTAGTATAGAGATCTTTTACCTCTTTGGTTAAATGTATTCCTGGGTGGTTTATTTATTAATTTTGTAGGTATTGTAAGTGGGATTCCTTTTGTGATTTCAATTTCACATAATTCATTATTGGTGATTAGAAGTGCTATCGATTTTTGTATGTTGCTTTTGTATCCTACAGTTTTTTTTAATTTACTTTTAAGTTCTAATGTCCCCTCCGCCATTCTCTCCCCCTCCCCTTGAGTCAAAGTCTTTACTGTATAGCCCATACTATCCTGAACTGGTGGTCTTCCTACTTCAGCCTCCTAAGTGCTGGCATTAAGGTGTTCTCCACCATACTTGGCTCTGGCTCTAACAGTTTTTTCTTTCTTTCTTTTTTGTTTAAACCTAAGAACTCACTTAAATTCAGGAACTCAAACTTACTAGACAGGTGCTCTACCAGCCCTATTTTTAAATTAGTTATTTTTTAGATAGGGTCTTGTGTTTTTGCTGGAGCTGGCCTTAAACTGTTATCTTCCTACCTATGACCTCTGTGTAGCTGGAATTACAGACTTGTGCATGCCACCATGTCCAGCGTATTGATTGAGATAGGGTCTTGCTTTTGCTCAGACTGGCCTTGAACTCCCATTCTCTGCCTCCTGAGTAAGTAGGATTTCAGGTGTTAAGTCACTGCATCCAGCCTCTAATAGCTGTTTGATGGAGTAGCTTCATTCTTGTTCACATAGGTGGTAGTTGGTAGATGTCAGCTGGGGTTATGGCCATATTTCTTTTATTATCCTGCATGTTAGCCTGAGCTCATGCACATGGTGGTGGTTGCATGGCTCCATAGAGTAGAAGGGTAAGTCCCCAGTGTACAAGCTCTGTGTTGTGTTTGCTAATGTCCTATTGACCAAAGGACGTCACATGGCTAGATTCAGATTCCTGGGGGACAGAATGCATTTCATGTTTTTAGTTTTTTTGAGACAGGGTCTTGCTGTGTAGTCTAGGATATTCTCAAACTGTTATCCTCCTGTGTCAGCCTGCAGAATGTTGGGATTATAGGGATGAATCACCATACCCAGCTTATGTTCCTAGGAGTGGCAAGTCATGAACTACAGGAGTGAGCATAGAAGTTTGGGAATAGCTTATGTCTGTGTGCAATCTACCATCTGTCCCAATTTTTCTGACAACTCTTTCATTCAAATTTCACTCAGACATGTATTGGTTCCTGTGTCCTAGATGGTAGGGACACAAAAAGGCAAGTAAAACAGGAGTTTTATTAAGAAATAAATGAGATTGCTAGCTGGGCATGGTGGTACATGCATATAATCCCAAAGATAAAAGGGTGGTGGTGCCTTGGGCAAAGTTAGCAGGAGACCCTAT